CCAATGTCATAAAACAACATGTGTACTACTGTTTCATGAGAAACTATTTGTTCTGTAAACCTTCACCTGAAGTACAATAAAATATATATATATATAAAAGTATATACTATTGAGGCAAAAATAGTTCTCATATTCTTGCTACTTGCTCTGCCACTTCAGTCTGAAATTTAATACAATATCTAGTTACCTTTGATTAGTTGTTGTAACAAAATGATTACCAGTTTCCCATGAGGACAGTAATTTTCGTAGGATAAAATTCCACTGGAGTAGAAAAAAATAGGTATGCCTTTTTTTTAAGCATGTTCAGGAAAATAGAAAGTTAAACAATGAAATTACAGTATATGAGGAATATATTTTTACAAAGGAAATTTCATATGAATCTTTTTATCAAGAATGTCACACCTAACCCCAACCTCCATCTACAGTTACCAGTTGAATTTTCTTCTTACCAGTTGAATTTTCAAATATTCACCTCCCTGAAAGAAGAATGTATTTAGACTTAACATTGCCTAAGTTAAAAAGAGAGAATAGCAACGGCAACGAGAACAACCACAAAAAAGAAACCTTTAAACTCACCCTGTTGGTTGGCTGTGTCCGTAAAATCTGTGTTCCAGAAGTAAGCAGAGGGCGCCTAGTCTCTCAGCATATGTAAGCCAGGTATTATTCATTGATATCCATTTTCTATTGGCAGTGTCTGACCCTTCAGTCATCAGAAATACTGGACCTCCAGGTTTGTAGAAGGCACCATTAATGAAATATCTCTGTGAAAGTAATAACATTCTTGTAAGTCATTAATTCACCAGGTCTTGCAATTTGTTTGTGGTTTCTGATAACTGGGTGGCAGCATATTATGGTTTGTCAGATTTGGGTTATGGTCCTGAGATCCCATCTAAATCAATAACATTGCTCAATTCACTGTGCTACACTCTGCACAAATTTATTTTTTGCTTTTGGTGGTAACAGAGACCCAACACCAAATTGGCCATTTCAACCATTTTCAAGTGTACAATCCAGTGGTGTACATTGCACTCACAATATGCAACTGTCACTAGTATCTGTTTACATTTCACGCTAATATTTTAAATTCAAATTTAGAATGTGAGATTCTTGTTTGATTTTATACTTGTAGCTATTTTCTTTAAACTCCGGAAGTTTCAATTCCTAACAACATCAACATAAATATTTATTTGCTTTATGCAAATAATGTATAGTAATACACACACATTAGAATAACAATACCAATATTAAAAGAAACCCTTATGTTGCCATAGTTAAGTGCTCTCCTGCTAAATGAAGGATAGTGGTTCAAACCAACCAACTGCCCCAGGGGATTAATGGAAGCAGACCACCACATCTTTCTCCCAGGGAGTGCCTTCTGCAGAACCACTGACCTTTGGGTTAGAAGCCTAACCTTAAACACTGCACCTTCAGGGCTTCTTCTCATAAATATTACAGCCTAGGAAACACTGAGAGGCAGTTCTACTTTGTCCTTTATGGTTGCTATGAGTTGGAATCAACACGATGGCATACAGAAACAGCAACAATATTAAGCGAGATAATATGAGTGGTTTCAGTTCTGAGTTAGAAAGGGAAGCCAAGGTAGAAAGAGGGAGAGTGCTGACACATTGTGGGAATTGAAACCAATGCCACAAAAAAATTTGTGCATGAATTTTTGAATGAGAAACTAATTTATTGTGTAAATTTTCACCTAGAACACAATTAGAAAAAAAAGGACTGACAGTATGATTATTGAAAACTTATTTCTTTACAATTGTTTGTGTGTGCATGCATCCTTAGTATTTATTCAACAAGAGATATAAAGTCAGAGGGGCAGAGCCGACATGTCACTATAGACAGAAGCGCCATATCGTCTCTCTACAGCAAAGGCCCAAAAAACAAAGTAAAACAGAGAAAAACATCAATCCTAAAACCCTAAGCATCAAATGAAGGGATAAAGAACTCAAACAGCACCAAATGGAATACGTATCTAACAAAGAACAGAGCATGAGGAGAGCTGTGGAGCAGAGGTGCCGTAACAGCTAATGCAGCACAGACTCTCCATCTTGGACCCCTCAGCCACAAAGATTGGTGGACAAGGATTACAGGAAGGCAACTTCATGGAGCTCCCAGCAGGAGCCAGAAAACCTGGTAACCAGGGATACACGCTTTCCCACCTATCATTTTTCTTCCCTCTGCACAGCCTCCGCCACTTTCCAGTGGGCCACAGTTCCTCAGCCAGATAGACCCAGGCTCCTTGCTGCTTAGATTCACCCTGCCCTCCCAGCCAGATTCTTCAGTGTCATTTTGTTGTTGTTTTTTGCTTCTTTTTGTTTCTTCTCTCTTTCTCACCTCCTTCATTTACTTTCTTCTGCATATCTAGTGCCATGTGCCATCTCCACTCCTTCTTGGTGGGCTGCACTGTACTGCTTGATTGGGGAGCCTCTTTCCTGGTGGGCTCCCTCAGGACTTTTTTTTGGGGGGGTCTCTTAATTCTCTCTACCCTCCTTCCTTTCCTTTCTCTTAGCCATCTGGTCATGTGTGCTGTCTCTACAGCTTTTGGACATGTTGTGCCATCTTCTTGTCTGGGGAGCCCCAGACACATGACTACACTGGTATAAGCAGCCTCTCTGGTGAACTCCTTTGGGGCATTTTGTTTTTCTTTTGTCATTCGCAGTTTCTTTTCTCTCTCATTCTTCCTTCCTTTCCTTTCTCTGACCAACTGGCTCCATGTGCTGTCTCTGTCTTTTTCTGACAGGCAGCGCCACATTGCTTAGCTGGGAACCACTGGCACACAGCTTCCCCAGTCCATGCCACCACATTGGTGGGTTCCCTTGGAGAATTTTTTCCTCACTTTCTTGTCTCTTTCTACATTCTTTTCTTTCCTTTCTCTTGATCACCTGGTTGCGTGTAGCTTTTTTCTTTCTTTCTTTTTTGCTTTTTTTAATCTCTATCTCACTTTCTTGTTTTTCTTTCTCACCATCATCTGGCTGTGTGTACCTTTTTTTTTTTTTTCAGTTTTTTATCTCTCTCTCCCTTCTTTCCTTTCCTTTCTTTCATCCACCTAGCCACTTGTGCTAGTACTGTCCCTTCTTGATGGGCTGTGCCACACTGCCTGGCTAGAAAGCGGCTGGCACATAGCTTCCGTGGGTCCACACTACTTCAGTGATAGGCTCCCTCATCAGCATTTTTTTTTTTTTTTGGCTTCTGTTTCTCTCTCTTCTCTCTCTTCTTTCCCAAACCCACTAGCTCTACATATCTCATGCTCAGCATTCCTTCCTGCCTAACTGCACCTCATGTTGTGTGCCACACTCCTAAGTGACACAAGTGCAAACTACCAGATCCCGCCTTGCAGTGCCCAAGGCCCCACTCTGTTGAACACAGAAAGAGTTGGAAATTACCCATCCCCCCCTCTACCCAACCACTGGACCTACCCTGCTGGACCATAGCTGAGCAACCAGTGCTGCCCACCTGGACAAGATGTTGAGAAGTACGATGCCCAGAGAAGAGCAAACAACAAAGAATGCACAGCTCACCTGCCCAGACATAACAAAATAGAACAAAACAGCAGGACAAAGCAAACAAATCTACAACCAATAAACAAAGAACGTAATTCCTGAATGTCCCAAAGACAAGAGGCAATATCAAAACATTAAAAAAAAAAAAAAAAAAAAAAAACAGGACAGGAGAGCTCCAGAAAGCATCCAAAATAAAACAACAGATGATCTTCTGGTAGAAGAAAAGACACTGAAACTACCTGATAGGGAATTCAAAACTTTAATATTCAGGGCTTTCCAAGAGATAAAGTAAAATGGAGAAAAAAATAAGGAAAAATAGACAAAATCATGGAAAAGACAGACAAAACAATAGAAGAATTCAAAAAAATAATACAGACCATGGTCCCCACAGCACTCTGCCCAGCAATTCAGTCCCTCAGGGAGTTCTGATGTGTCTATGGAGCTTCCATGACCTTTCTTTGTACAAGTTGTGCTGGTTTCCCCAGTATTGTGTACTGTCTCACCCTTCACCAAGATACCACTTATCTATTGCCTATTTAGTATTTCCTTCCCATGGTCTCAGGGAACATCTAGCTCAGTTGGCATAACACATTTTATAAAGACAATGTTCTACATTCTACCTCAGTGAGTAGCGTCTGGGGTCATAAAAGCCTATGAGTAGCCATCTAAGATACTCCACTGGTCTCACCCAATTGAGTGCAAAGGAGAATGAAGAGAACAGGATACAAGGAAAAGGTTTGTTCAAAGGACTAATGGACCACAGCTACCAAGACTGCCACCAGACCAAGTCCAGTACAGCTAGATGGTACCTGGCTACCACCACTGACAGCTCTGACTGGGATCACAACAGAGGGTTCTGGACAGAGCTGGAGAAGTATGTAGAACAAAATTCTAACTCACAAAAAAGACCAGATTTACTGGCCTGATAGACTGGAGAAACCCCGAGAGTATGGTCCCCCAGACACCCTTTTAGCTCAGAGGTGAAGTCACTCCAGAGGTTCACCATTCAGCTGGGGATTGGACAGCCCCATAAAACAAAACAGGACTAATGAGGTACAGCAGTCCAGGGACAAGGACTAGAATGCAGGAGAGGGTAAGAAAGCTGGTGATAGGGAACCAAACTTTGAGTAGGGAGAGTGTTGATATGTCATGGGGTTGTTAACCATTATCATAAGGCAATATGTGTACTAACTGTTTAATGAGAAACTATATGTTCTGTAAACCTTCATCTAAGGTACAAAAAAAAAAAAAGAAATTATCTTTGTAAGATCAAATTGACAACAGCAACTCAAAAGTTTTGATGGGAAGCCTAGGGGCCAATGAGTTGAAGACAATGGTGATGGAGTAATTTGGAAAAGATTAGTGAGAATAGCAGCACAAATGGAAGATAGTAATCAATGTCACTGAAATGTACATGTAGAAATTTCTGAAATGGTGTATCTTTGGCTACATATATTTTGACCAAAAGAAAAAAAATGGTCCTCCAAGATCGAGAAGGGAGAGTGTTGACACGTTGTGGGGTTGTTAACCAATGTCATAATACAACATGTGTACTGTTTAATAAGAAACTATTTGTTTTGTAAACCTTCACCTAAAGTACAATAAAAAAATTTAAAAACAAAGAGCCCTCATCCACCAGAAGAAAGGAAATAATAAAGATCAAAGCAGAAATAAATGAAATACTGAACAGAAAATAATAGGAGAATCACCAAAACCAAAAGGTGGTTCTTTGGAAGAATCAAAACCATTGGCCAAATTGATTTTTAAAAAAAGGAGAAGAGGCAAATAACCCAAATAATAAATGAAATGATGGACATTACAACACACAGTACTGAAATAAAAAGGATCATAACAGACTACTATGAAAAACTAAACTCATAGAAATTTGAAATCCTACAGGAAATGGACAAATTACTAGAAACACACTACTTACCGAAACTAACACAAACTGAAGTTGATACTCTGAAGAAACCTGTAACAAGAGAAGCAAAGACAAAAGAAAAGAAAAAAAACTTCCAACAACAAAAAAGCCCTGGCCCAGGTGGTTCCACTGAAGAATTCTACCAAACTTTCAGAAAAGAGCTTACAACAAACTACTCAAAATATTTCAGAAGATAAAAGAGGAAGAGATACTTCCGAATTCATGCTCTAAAGCCACCATAACCCTGATACCTAATCCAGCAAAGAAACCACAAAAAAAGAAAATTACAAACCAATATCTCTCATGAATATAGATGCAAAAATTC